CAATTTGATTTGAAACTGTCTCATTGCTATATGTATCAATAAAACTTTGAAAAGAAAAAAAAATAAAATAAATAAATAAATTTAGGACACGGTAAAAAAAAAATAAAGTACAAGAGAATTTAAAAAAAATAAATAAATAAATGTGTCTTGATACTAGTTTTCTTTATGTACAGGGAAAATTCTTAGAGTTTATTGTAGATTATCTTGGTATTAATAGTGAAGATTTTCACGGAAGATTTTTGTTCCTTTCAGGTACAGAAACAAGTGAAAAAATACAAGCAAGTGGAATACTTAAGCTGTTTGCAAGTCTTTTGACTCCACAGTCTTCCTGCACAGCCAAAGTAGCTAACATCATAGCAGAAGTAGCCAAAAATGGTAAAATTTTCCTTAAGAATTTTTCTGTTGGGAACATCTTCAGTTCTAAACCTTAGTTGTCAATATGTTTTATTAATTAATTTGTTGTAATTTTATAGAAGTTTTTTTTTTCCTGTTTCTCCTTTGCTTGACATTTTCCATGTAATTGTTTTAAGTAACTATGGTCATAGTGCTTTAATCATACATTTCCTATTTGTTAATGCAGTCCTTCAAAGTAGAGTTAAAGGAAAGCCCTAATAGTCTTAGCTGTATTTGTATCATTCATTACTTTGGGTATGGGATTTTGGAGCTTATCATTAAGTCATATATTTTCTTTATCTCAGGAGAGCTTACCTTTTCTAGTGTCTATGTTGGTTTGTATTAGAGTCACTGTAAGAGGCCCACTGTTCCGCTTACTAGTCTTGCCTGTCTTCCTAACACTGGCATTTGATGTCAGTATGCAGTTGGAATTTATATTCTATTTTTGTAGTAACTTTCATTAAAGTATGTTTCATAAATTCCATGTGAGAATACTCTGGAAAAGAACAATGACAACATAACTTAGGTTATATATTTAATACATTATTTATTACTTGTATCTACTGAGATTCTTTGGAAGAATTACAGCAGAAATATTTGCAAGATTGTTAAATCAGTTAATTGGAGGAAGTACTTAGTACTGAAAGTAGTTTTTAAGCATAACAGAAAGCCATAGTAAATGAAGTACTTGGTAGTGTGCTTCAGTTTGTCAGTTTGTTATTATTTTTAGGTCTTTTACTTTAATACGTTACATTTTCAGAAGAAATTATAAAATTCTGATTTCATGTAATCGCAGTGTTCAAAGGCTTCCTAAAGTATTGTTACATGTTGTTTGGGGCTGGTAAAACACTGTGCTCCTATGTGTGTTACCAGAAAGAAAATTGCTATAAACTTTTTTCAGTTTTTGAAAGGTTATCAAAGTATCTTCCAGGTTTTATATTGGAAAATAATATTTTGTTTTTAACTGAAAATTGACCTCCTGTTATTAGTGTGTCATAGATCTAGTTTGAAAATGAAATCTTTTTAGACATTGTTAACCTAGACAAGTGATGGTGAACCTCTAGTGCTTTGAATGATAACAACCTGCTGCATCATTATGCCAGAGTTGCATCATCTGACCTAGACCAACTCCTACTTGAATCTTCCTAGATACAAAGCAGTTTGGCTTTTAAGATCAGTAGTTTATTATTTTTAAACATCATTAGACTGACAGTCTTGCCTGTCTTCCTAACACTGGCATTTGATGTTAGGAAACATCAAACATTTTCTTCAGATTTCCAGAAATGAGCAATTTTGTTTTTATCTTAAAACATTTTTCTTAGAATGGCAAAGGTACTATAGAAATTTAGATATTCAGCCACCGCATTGCTTTAAGCAGTTGGCTGAAAATGTAGAGAAGAATCTTTTCAAGTGTTCTATTTTAACACAAATACTATTAGAAACTCAACATGGTACATGACATGAGTATGTTAATTGACAACAAAACAGGTTGTATGAATCAGAAAACTTGAAATTGGAAGTTGATTTTTTGTTTACTGTGTATAATGTAGTGACAGGAGATATATCAATTTACACTTCAGAGATTCAGAATAAACCCAAAATACATTTAAATTTTTGCATACAAAAAGAAGCTAGAAATTAGCATACCTGTGTGTCCTCATTTACAATACAGGTATTATTAGTAAGATATTTTGTGGAAAAGTTTAAAGTTAAAGGATAACTAAAAAGAAATTATAATAAAAGATTGTTAGACCTTTTAAAAAATTTCCTTATAGATTTGAGGTAATGAAAAATAAATAAGATAGTAATTGTCTGTAAGTATTTCTTCCTGTTAAGAAGTAGACTCTCAAGGTACATAATAATAGTAATAGTAATTCTTAGTAGTACCTACTCTTATTGCCTACATAGTACCAAAGTACTCATACAATGTAAGACAACTGGATTGGTGTGTCATCTCTTACAGATTGATTATTGAAGTTATAGACATGTATATAACTAATTTTCCTGACAGGTGGTAGGGTACTGCATACTACTAAGTTTAAACACATCAGTAATAAATACTGGCTTTCCAAGTAGGAAGTAAGCCCAGTGTGGTAATACATGACTGTGATAGCTCTCGGCATGGCTGAGCAAGGAAGATTTTAAGTTCAAGCCCAGCCTTAGTCTCTGTCTCTAAAATAAAGGGCTGGAGATATAGCTTGGTGCAAAGGGCCCTAAGATCAGTCTCCAGTAACACACAAATGTACACACACAAACACACCCTTATACCCCTGTATGTTATGCTCAGAGAATCTGAAAAGAACAGAAAGAGAGGAAAGATTTGTGGCATGTTGCTGTAAATTCTACCCTCGAAAGGCTGAAACAGGACAGTTGTGAGTTCAAGGCCAGCATACACTGTATCAAAATCTTGTCTTAAATACAGACACCCCATACATTTATTACTACATAATAAATAAAATAGGAAGCACTCTTACCCTTGGAAATTTAAATTGCCAGAAGGGTTCAGTAATATAGTGAAAATTAGGAACTATGATAGAAATCCTTTATTTTGATAGAGAGGAATACCTAGTAAGATAAATTGTAAGTTGAAAAATTAGCTCATTGTTGATTACTTTTATTAACCAGAACATCCTGATGGTAAATTGTGATGTCCAGAATGAAATTCTAGTATCATTAGTTTTTCTAATATTAATTATTGGAAAACTTTATTTAATTGTGTGCCTGTCTTCATTATCCTTCAATTTTGTAGTGGTTCATTATGAGGAAGTGTAAAAAAAGAAACAATTTATTTCTGATGAACGAATCTCAATAAAGAATTGCACAATACAAAAATGAGGGAAAATGAGTTTCAGGTATTAAAATGATGACTATTTGGTACACATAGATTTATAAATGGATGGATACAACTACAGATATAAACTAGCCATAACATAGATTTTAATAAAAAATAAAAATTGGTGTAAGAATATGATTTCTCTAGGTCTTACCAATTGAAAAAAGATCTACTGATAATGACTCATGGAAAACCTTCAAAATTTTCATTTTGGCTTTTTAGAGAACATTTGGCACAAAATTAGACAATTCAATAGCTTAGTTTTTAACCATAATACTTTAATCATATTCACGTAAAGAACATTGCTGTCATGACATACTGCTTCCCAGACATGCATCTATTCTGGGAAGATAGTGGTAAATTAGTTGTAATGAGTTAATTTAAAAAATCCTTTATTGCGGTCCAAACTCAGTCACAGCATGAGTGAGACCCTCTTCCGTGCCCTTGGGACCCCCACCACCACTCCACAGTGCCCCCCAAACACCCGCCATTGAGAACTTACGCTGTGTTCTGTGGACCCCTAGATCCAGCCCTAGCCCAGACCCCATGAGTGTGTGGGAGAGCTTCCAGCTACCCTGTACCTGTGGGACCTGTCCAGTCCAAGCCCAGGCGCAGCATGAGTGAGACTCTCCTCCACACACTTGGGACACCCCCACCACTCTGCAGTCCCCCCGACTCTTGCCCAGTGAGTGAGAACTTCTTCTGCGTTCTCGGGAACCCCAGATCCAGCCCTAGCCCAGGCCCGGTGAGAGCTTCTGGCTATCCTGCACTCACAGGACCTACTCCGGTCCAAACTCAGGCATAGCATGGGTGAAACCCTCTTCCACCCCCTTGAGGCCCCCGTCCCAACCACTCCACAGACCCCTCAATCCTGCCAGTGAGTGAGAACTTCTGCCGTATTCTGGGGACTCCAGATCCATCCTTGGCCCAGCTTCGGTGAGTATGTGAGAGAGTTTCCTGTCCCCTCTACTCTACCTTGTCCCCTTCAGACTCAGCTCAGGCCTGGCATACAGGACTGGGATGAAATTCTGCAGCTGCACTCCCTGCAGAAACAGTAGGGGACAGAACCACCCAGCTAGTCCAGGAACAGAACATCTTGCCAGAGGGGCACAATAGGTTCACTCCGAAGCATGGCAGCAGGAAGGAACTGAGCACAACAGCCAGACCCAAGCCAGCACAGCTGGATAAATTCGAACTTTGTAGATCTGCGCCTGAATTTTAATAGGTCCTAAGGTTATAACTGCACCAAAACTCTACAGGAAAGGTTAAAAGACAGTGCTACATTAGGGCGGTGACCTAGTGTGGCGGTCACCGCGCCGGGCTCTGGAGCGCGAGGTCGCCAGTTCGCGCCCCCTTCCCAACTCTCTCTGTTAGGGTCAGGGAGATGGCTCAGTGGAATAAGCGCTTCCCTGGCAAGCACAAGGGCCTGAGTTCAATCCCCGGTTCTGCAAAAAAAAAAAAAAAAAAAAAACAAAAACAAACCTACCGACAAAGAAAAGTCCATGTCCTGATGGATTAACAGCTGAATTTTACAAGAAATTTACAGAGGATGTACCCTATATTCCTCAAACTCTTCGATAAAATTGTAAAGGAAGCAATCCTCCCAAAATCATTCCTGGAGGCAAGTAGTATATTGATACCAAAACCAGGGAAAGATGCACCTAAAAAAGAGAACTACAGGCCACTCTCCTTCATGAACATAGATGCAAAATTCCTCAATAAAATCTTAGCAAATACGATATAGCAAATCAACAAGAAAATCATACACCATGACCAGGTAGGATTCATCCCAGGGATGCAAGGACGGTTCAGTATTCAAAAATTTATAAATGTAATACACTATATCAATAGAGCGAAAACTAAAAACCACATGATCATTTCCATTGATGCAGAAAAGGCTTTCGACCAAGTCCAACACTCATTCATGTTCAAAGTCCTACAAAAAATTGGAGTAGATGGCTTCTATTCAATCTGGTAAAAGCCATTTATGAAAACCCAACGGCTAACATAATTCTAAATGTGGAAAGCTGAAATCTTTTACTCTTAGATCTGGTACAAGACAAGGATGTCCTCTATCTCCACTCCTATTCAATATAGATCTGGAATCAGTAGCTAGCACTATTAGACAAGAGAAAGAGATAAAAGGAATAAGAAGAGGTAAAAAAGAAGTTAAAATATCCTTATTGCAGATGACATGGTTTTTTACTTGGAAAACCCAAAAAACTCCATCAAAAGCTAGTAGAGTTAATACAGAAATTCAGTAACATAGCAGGATACAAATCAATACGCAAAAGTCAGTAGCATTCCTCTACACAAATAACAAACACAGAGAGGGAAATTAGAGAAGCAATACCTTTCACAGTAGCACTAAGGAAAATGAAATACCTTGGAATTAGGCTAACTAAAGAAGCCAAAGATCTTTTTAGGGAAAATTACAGTACTCTTAAAAAAGATTGAAGATCGAAACACTAAATCTCCTGAAAGAGAAAGTAGGAGAAACGCTTTGAGACGGGGTAGGCAAAGAGTTCATGAACAAAAATGAAATTGCATGGGAAACACTTGAAAGAATTAGCAACTGGGGCTTCCTCTTATTGAGACGTTTTTGCACGTCAAAAGAAATTACCAACAAAGTGAAAAGGCAACCCACAAATTTGGAAAAAATCTTGACAAATAAGTACTCAGACAAAGGTCTGCTCTCTGGAATTTATAAAGAACTAAAAAAGACTAGGGCTCCAAAATTTAAAGACCCAGTCCAGAAATGGGCATCCAAGATGGACACACACTTCCCCGAGGACGAAATTAACGAAGCGAATAAATATATTAAAAAATGCTCCACATCAACTAGCCATCCGCAAAATGCAAATTAAAACAACATTGAGATATCATCTCACCCCAGAAAGAATGGCTATCATAATAAACAAATCAACCAAAAACAAATGTTGAAGAGGCTGTGGGAAAAAGGAACCCTTCTCTACTGCTGGTGGGAATGTAGACTGGTGCAACCGTTAATGGAAATCAGAGTGGAGACCCCTTAGAAAACTAGGACTGGAAATCCCATTCAAACTAGCTATTCCCCTACTGGGTATTTTCCCAGAGGATCTGAAAGCATCATATCATAGTGATACATGTGTACCTATGTTTATAGCAGCACAATTTGTGATAGCCAAATCTTGGAAAAAACCAAGATGCTCGTCACCTGAGGAATGGTTGAAAAAGATGTGGTATTTTTATACAATGGAGTAAAATGAGTATTACTCAGCTATAAAGAATGATAAACTTGAAGCCTTTATATTGAAGCGGATGCCACTTGAAGATATACTCATAAGTGAAATAAACCAGATACACTTGTGTAAGTACCATATAGTCTCCCTAATAACAAGAACTCAAAAGAAGAAAGACAAAAACGTGTAATACAGTTAAAAGGAAAAGAAGAACTTGAGGGCTGTATAATGAAGGGAGAGCAAGGAGAAGAGCTAGCAAACATGACAGAGGCAAGCCATACAGTTATATGTACAAGATGGGTAAGGTAGTGATCCTGAGAATCTTCAGATTTTCGAATCTAGCAGTTAATTGGCAGGATTCTCACCCTGACTAACTATATATGCTGACACCTGTGAACTAAGCAACTGCAGTGAAGATGGCAATTTGTAATAGTAGGTTCATGGTTGGAGTGCCTGTCATTCTGGCCTTCTCAATACGTGCTGCTTGTCATGACACGCTGGTTGCTGCATTGGTGTCTCTTGGGTAGATGATTGTTTAAAAAGGAAGAGATGAATGAAGCCAGGAGACAGGAAAAGGAATGTTGTGGGACTCTCCTGCAACAAGGTTATATATGGTTAGATCTCTAGACTTATGTGTAAACATATACAATTCTGTATTCCTATTTTTTAAATATATTTTAATTTTTAAAAATTTTTTGTCATATTCTGTAGGAACTTAAAGTTTAACATATCACTACTTGATGAAAACTACCTTTTCTATGTTATGCCTAAGATGTTTGCTATTGAGATAGATAATGAGGTAAGCTCAGCAGCCTAGGTTGTATGGTAATAACAATAAACTTCTCTTTTGGAGGGTGAAGAACCCAAGTTTGCAGACCAAAAATTAGAGAAAAAGGAGGGCTACAAGGAAAGCCAACATTTACCCCTTGCCTTCGAAGCTCAATTAAGACTCAGGACATATGAGAACTTGTACTGTAACATGATGTAACTAAGTTATGTCCCAAATTTTTCGATCAAGGAGATGAGATTATGGGGCCAAAGAGGAAAATGATCAATTCTGTAGAGTGTGCCTAAGGAGAGACATAGAGAGAAAACATTCTCTCAGGCTTTCACAGAAAGCAAATTGGCCAAGCAATGGCTGTGACTCATCTACATGGCTGACACTGACAAAGGATTTCCAATCTGAGTTACAGTCTCAGGATAAATCCTGAGGGGATTTGACTAACCTTATCAGATCCAAAAGCTACAATTTTTGTTAATTTTTGTTACATAGGTCTTGCTTTATCTTGGTCTTAGCCATCCAGCAGAAATATATAAAAATGAAGTACAAGAAATAAAGCCATGTTGTTATGTTGAGCTGTAGGGGACTCAGGTCAACAACTTCTGATATTTCCAGTCAATTGGAAGACCCAATACTGTTATGGACTACTGGATTATTTTGGAATATTTTTCTGAGTTCACACACCAATAATATTTAAATGATGGAACTAAACAAAAAAAGGGGAAGCAGATGAATGACCATTTTGTATCTGTGTATTCAAAATGGTTAGTATAGATATATAGCTACATTCTCTTAATTTAAGGAACAGGAATTTGTTCTAATAGTGTTTGTAAATAGGATATCATGTCAGTATCTTGTACAACAAATAACTACTAGGAAGACAGTATGCAATGTGTTAATTATTGAAATTGTCTCACCAATTTGATTTGAAACTGTCTCCTTACTGTTTATTTTTCAATAAGATTATGGGAAAAAAATGAAAATTAAAAATTAAAAAATTGTTTATTTTTATAGAGAGGAATACCTAGTAAGACAAAACATAAGTGGAAGATTGTTGATTATTTTTATTGATGAGAACATCCTGATAGTAAATTGTGATGTCTAGAATGTGATTCTGGTTATTACTAGTTTTGGTAGTTTGTGTACAAAGAAAAATAAGACCCCACTCATATTTTGTGTATTTCATGATATATAATTGTAAGGATTTATTTTATTAAGGAAGGTAATTTATGTAAATTGTGAATCTTTTTAATTTTAATTAAATTCTGTCTCTTATTTTCAGAATTTATGCGAATCCCATGTGTGGATGCTGGATTGATTTCACCACTGGTACAGCTGCTAAATAGCAAAGACCAGGAAGTGCTGCTTCAAACAGGCAGGGCTCTGGGAAACATATGTTACGATAGCCGTAAGTGTTGAAAAACCAATAATGAATGGACTTACAAATTTTTGAGAAATAATGATTTTCCATATTTATTGCACTTTGGTGTTAGAACTTTCTTTTCTAGGCTGACATTAATATGGACCAGTATGATTTAGTTCTGTCTATAGCAGTACTGATGGAAATTTGGACCTTTATTGTGACAAGAAATTTTCTAAGGAAAATAAATACCAAAAAAATTGAGGCTTTTAAGTTTATCAAAAATATATGTCTTTGTAATTAGGTTTTATTGAAGTACTGTCTGTGAGTGACAATGCCATGGACAGTTTCTCCATCTGTCCATATTGTATTAATAAAAATATTCATAGAAACCATTATCTTTGTAAAAGTTAGACTGGCTCATGGCATTTGCATTCACTCCATTCCTATTTGTCATTTTGTCATTGTCATCCTTGCCACCTTCTATTACACACTGTTTTAAACAAAGAGAAAACAAGAATTTGAGAATGGGTGTATTGCAAAAATGTTACTTCTCCTTTTTATAAGCAAAATATAGAAAATTGCTTTGCTTTGTTTTTGTACTGGGAATTTTAATTCAGGATTTGCACTTGCCCAGCAGGCACTTATGCCTCTGAGCTATCTCCCTAGCCTAAGAAAATCTTTAAATTAGATTTATCTTGATATTTTCCTTAAATTTCTGTTTTCTGAGCCCAAACCACATCTCTTTCTTTCACTTTTAAAGCTTCTAAAACAGAATTTTTATTTCTATAACTAGGATAACTTTTCATGTTTTCCTTGTTATTTTGTGATAAACACAGAATACATGCTCCTATAAAATAGGCAGTGTTTTAAAAAGTGTCTTATATTTATTGTCCAGATAGTAAGATAATAAAAACATAATAAAAAGTAGGCAACAAAATTGCCACTACAGTTAGAGGTTGTAAAATTTTTATACCAGTATTGGCAAGCAGTGTTCTTTCCTTTTTCTGCAATGTATGTTGTGATAGCCATAGATTAAAATATAACTAATCTGTTTGAAGACGATATTTTGAGTTTCACCTTAGGTTTTAGTCCCAGATGCTACCTAAAAATTTACCTGTCTGCTTTTCTGCTCCAGTTCTTTTACTTTACAGTATTACCTTTATTTATAAAATCCTAGTGTATTGCGTTTATAATTTTGTGTATTTGAGCTAGGGAAATATAACTCAGCAGCTTAAGCCCCTGCTTGGAAAGCTGAAGGTCCTGAGTTTGATCCCTGGCACCAAAAAAAA